GACGTCCTTTTTTTCGGATTTCAAACAATGGTCTATCAACATGGCTGCAGTGAGAAGAGCGATGCCCCTAATTTTAAATAGTCTTATTAGTTCCATCACTAGCATTCATTATTATAATAGTAGCAAACCTTGATACAAGTGGAACAAGCATATTTTACACCGTTAATGTACATTTTAAATAAGGCGCCTTTTTTTAATGATATATATATTTGGAATATAGAAAAGAGGAAGTAATAATAATAGTAATAGAAATAATAATAATATCTAGGTTGAAAGTATACGTTTGTAGAGTGGGTCTTTTTAGGAAAAAAGAAAAAAGAAAAAAAAAGGTAGAGGGCGTTATCAAGAACTACTTTGATATTCACAGCTTATTCTCTTGAGACGCTATAAAATCATACCAAAGTATAGAAAAGAGAGATATATATAGTCAATGAAGTAAGTATTATTTTTTTTTTCAAAAGAAATTTAAATTCTATGAAAAAGAGAAATAAGAAAAAAAATGGAAAGGGAGTAAAAAGAGAAAGAAATAAAAACTTGGAAAGGGAGCAAAAAAGGGGGCCTATTTCAATGGTTGATCCACCCACAGTTTTTTTTTCACTATTTCTAGCGGAGAGAAAATGTGTGGCAGTTGTTGTGTGGGGACCCTGACCTGTCATCTGTCTATCTTTTATATAAATATATATTGGTGAAAATAGCGATCAATGGCGATATGAGCTCAATTGAAAAAATGTAGGACAAGCCACCTGAATATGACGTAGCACTATTTGTGTCTCTGTCGCCGTCTTGATTCTGTGGTTGATGATCAGCTTTATAGATTAGTATTACCATAATAATAACCATTATTGTTATTGTTACTTTTTTATTTATTTTTGCTTTAGAGTTGTGTTTATCATCATCATCATCAATAATAACAATTATACATACATATTTACTATTATTTACTTGCTTGACCTATTTTATAAAAATCGAGAGTAGTTATATATAAAAAAAAAAAGATATAAAATATAACCATTAAATTCCTCTGTCAAAAGGGAAAGGAATCACTAATCTACCCAAAATAACTGTAGGAATATTCATTTTCTGATTTCCAAAGTGGCTGGTGAAATCTCTAAAACATGGTGCCAAGAAATAAAAATAAACTTTTTTTTGGTTTTCCTCTCTGCTGTGGCGAGATGGTTTGAATCACTTCTGAACAATCGGAGTGGTAAAAAGCAAAAAGCGAAAATTTAATGCTTTCTAAAATCTGTTTATGAGAAAAGTTTTGTGTGTTAAAACATTTGTTTATGACATGCTGCATCCTTACTATATTGTTATCATAACTGTTTTTATTTAATCTTATTTGGATTAAGATGATTTATTTTTAATATCACAGGATCAGAATAGTTACGTATTTTACATCAAAATGCAATCTATCCTCTCCCCTTTTTTTTTTTTTACTCCTCCGATCACTACCTTTCCATCTTCTGATACTTGTGTAGATCAAACCTTGACATTGGTCATACTAAAATTGGTATCAAGTCGCATATATAATGAATTTGTTTTACGGCATTCAAGCCCGCCAAAAACAGTCAGATTTCTAATCATGTTTTATCTATGATGATGATTGCTTACACGCTTACTCTTCTCTTCATGCCAAGATCTCTTAAAGTATCATTGTTATAAAATAGTAGAGGAGAACAAAGTAGGAGAGAAATTTAGACTTTTTATATTATTATAATGAATGAATATATAATAAACAGTGATTACAGCCATTCATCACATCCCTTCTTCCAACATTCTGCTGCTGCTCTCCCAAATGTAGTAAGTTTCTTTTTTTCTTCCTATCTCTCTCTCTCCGCGCCCTGTACATGGAGAAAATAAAATAAAAAAAAAACCTTATTTATTTATTTATTTATTTTGTAAAATAGTAATGGTAATAGTAATAATAATAATAATAATAGTAATAATAATAGCAACAAAAAAGTGAATTGTGATCATGTAAAATGGTCACTTAGCCTGATGTAACTTGCTATCTATTTTCAAAACAAAATAAGAAAATACTATCAGACACCCGCTTTTATGTATACAATAAAACCGTGCGAGAATATATAAATATATTAAAGGTCACAGTTATATATAAAATATTTATAATAACCTACAACTTGAGGTTTGTCAAACCATCTGATATGCCGTAATGTAGAATAATGTCAGGTACAACTTGTTTTTAATATTCGAATAACTGAATAGCAGGCGAATAGTTACACCACCGACACACTAAAACCAATTTATTAGGTGGTGATTTATTATCCAAGGTTTTCATAAAATACATGCTCAATTTCCTTTTTATTGATTTCCCGTCTGCTTTTTCCAATAGTTAAAACGTGCGTATTTTATTTTTCATAAATTGAGTCTAAGTTTTATTTTATTTAACACTACTCATAATTGTAAATAAATTAACAAGAAATACACACACACACACACACACACACACTTTTCTAAAGTGCTAAAACATGACAAGAAAAAGAAGGAGCAAACATGCTCAAGGGAGAAAAAAAAAAAAGAAAACAACATTTTGATATCATTGCCAAGACAGAATTTAATAACATGGCATTTATTTTTAATGATATTGAGAATGCTTTTTATTTCTATTTCAGACTCCCCTTAATCCATTTGATATGTTAACTTGACCAAGCTACTTGTTAGTGTTATTGTAAATTAAATAAACCTAACCTTTTATTTTAACCATTCTGTTCTGTTTATGTGATATCTTGTTTCTCAAGATAAAAATAAAATAAACTCTTTGGGGGAAGCCCCGTGCCATACGGCTTTGGAGGAAATAAATGCATAGAATGAATCCATCTTTGTTGTGTGTTCATTCATATGATGAATTCCGAGTCTGATAATAATGTCGTAATCGATTTCACTCATCCAACATTTATTTTGCGCGGTTCATTCAGCCATGAGTACAGCTCCTTTCATAACAAGCGTAAAAAAGTTACTTTTATGATATCCAACTTTCGGAGTAGCTTAAAAAAGCTTTTGAAACGTCAAAATAAAATGACCCTAAAAGCCCTAAAGGGATTTTTCATTTTGAATAGCTTTTTTTTTGTTTGTTTCATCAACATTAATGCTTGATGAGCACATGTGAATTTTCTTTCTAGCAAGTAAAAAAATAAAATAAAGATGAAACTAAAAATGACAATCTATTCTTATGGCATAATAATGAATGATAAGCTTCGCTTTTTTTTTTATAAGGAGAAAAAGAAAAGATCCGGAAATAGTCGCCATTACCTACCTCCGAATTATCATTAATCCTTTTTCAATTTTTAAAGTCAATTTTTTTAATGGCGCACTTTAAGAACTGTGCCACTTTCTCAAAAGCTTTATTTTTATCTTCAAACCTTCTTAATCAGGACAGCTGATATATTCGGTAATGATACTCTTTTTTTAACAAAGGAGAGTAAAACATGTTATATTTTTACAATGAACATGAAAAACCAAAGAGGAACATTTACATTTTATCGTGTTTATTTCACTTCTATGACGACATGATAAGGCAGAAGATAATTTGTAATCTTGTCATGATCCAGATATTGGTTCTTATTTTATACATTCGGCAGAAAAAGAGTGGAGCGCGTTGGTGTAACTTTTGTTACTTTGGTGCTTCCAATTAATCTCTAGATTAGTTTTCCATCTAAACGATTTTTGTTTTTGGTACAGTACTTCTGGTACCAATATGTGGTTTTACCAGACCAATTTGTGGTCAATTTTATAATACAAAATATACACTAATAGATGTACGAACCAAATCGCAAAGTGGTACCGGGAGCACTGTACAAACATCTTTAAACTTTTTTTTTTTATGCTTTCAAATACTTTTTTTTATTTACTGTTTCTCTTATAGCTAAATTTTCATAGTAGTTAATATGATATCTTCAGGTCTTTGCCAGGAACTGAGAGTATAGTTACATACGATTTTTGTGAATGCCCCACCCACGAATTTTCTTTACTGGTTTAAGAGATAGCCATTGGTAAAACGAGATATCAACAGGTTGGTGAGAACTAAAGTTTTGTTTTTGATGGGGTTAAATAAATAGAAAAAAAAATAACATTTAATGAGAAAATGCTGATGACAGAAAAATTGACTAAAAAGGGAGACTAAGCTCATGATCCAACCCAATGAGTAATAACACAAGGGCGTATGTTTTGGTGTCTAAATGGATCCCATTTATCACCAACTTTAATTGTCATATACAAATTATCGCCCATGCTCAATCGAAACGCCTATTTTACTAATGCGTAATTGCGAATGTGTCCATACTGTGGTTTTATTTTGATTATATTATTTATCCAGACCTAATTTTATCTGGTTTACCATTTGCTTATTTATATTTTGGCATACTCAGATGTGGATTGTTTACGTAAATACTAATTATATATCTCAGGCTATTCGTTGGATTCCTTGTAGACTCTCCTCCTGGATTCCATTTTACCATCTGGGGTCGTTAAATATACCGCTACTCGCACCCATTGCCGGCTCTTCCCATAGGCTTGTCGATGCCGTAAGTTTTTATATTTTTATCTGTGTCTATTTAATGGGTTACTCGCTTGTTTTTTATATACTTCCCTTCTGGTATACATACATATGGCCTTCACTAGTTGACATGTCAAGTAATAAAAGTTGTTTTCTTTTTTTAAAAGAAATAATAATATTTAAACCCTACTTTTGATCAGCACTTCAAGGCATGTCATGATTAAACAAAGGTAATGCTCCATTGTATATGTATATTGATCAAGTATGCAGAATTTCATAATCCATATGCTATGACCCTGTTTTTTTTGTAAAGTGATATACCAATTTACTCGATTACAGAGAAAAAATATACAGTGTTTAGTATATTTTGTATTATAAAGTTTTTTATTTTTCTATTATCCAGCATTTGTACTAGTGACTGTTTATTGCCATATTTGGGTGAAAAAAACCACACCAAATTAAAAAATTTCCGGGAGTGTACAATTGAGCTCTCATAGTATAGTGGTGTAATGTGGACTGTTACAATTAAGGTGTTATCTAAGGTCCCGAGTTCGATTCCCGCTGAGAGCTAACTTTTTTATTTTTTATTTTGGAATAAATATTTTTCTTATTTAAAAGGCTTTGTATGAATAAAAATGAAAAAGGATCAACCTCAAACATGATTAAGCTTTTTTTTTTTTTTTTGTACCGTTCTCTCCACTTAATTCTTTTTGTATTTCTCATCTGTTCATTTTAAAAACTGGCTTTCTTTTTTTGTTAAACACTTCTATTTCTTTTTCAAATATTACTGTTAGATTTTAACTTTCTAAAACAAAGAGTTTTCTTTGATTCTTCCATGATATTTTATTAATAATTATAGATATTGCCTCTAAAGGGTTATATACAACTCTAATTTAATTTCATAAATCATAGTATTGACTGAAAAAAGAAAAGAAAAGAAACAGGCAAGAGAGTGTTATTTTCAAATTGAGTATAATAGCAGTGGTGTTTTTGACAGTTATGCTTTTTCTGTGAGGAGATAACAGTGTTCATAAGCTTCGAATGAACATGTCTTTTTCTCTTGTTTAATCTATCAATAATAAACTGTTCTTTTTTAAATCTTTAAAATGTATTCGACTTGTCAGTTTATTTATAGTATGAATCCATTTTGTCTTTTTCTTTTTTTACTGTATTGATACTATATAAAAATGAGTCAGTGATGAATGATCTATGAATCGATTGAACTCCTTTTTTGCTTATAGAATGCTCTGACAGTATCTTATTCTCCTTCTTAATAAAATGTATCTTTACTATGTCTTCTTTTATGTAAACTTGACGTTGCCTTATATTTTACACTCTTCTTTAACCACGCAATTTTGATTAAACATGAAATGCTGGGACTGTTAATTTGCATACATTTTCATTGAGATTCCTTTTCACTTTATTTAAATCAATGTATTGATAGACTCAAAAAGGTTGTTATTTATCGTTAGGGACAGTGAAAAAGGCCATCTATTATATATGCTTTACTATTAATTAACTTTTTTTATGTATCCTTTTTTATATAATTAGTACTACTACTACTACTACTACTACTACTACTATTTATATATACATTCGTTCCTTTATATATAAGAGTTCCTGTTTGGCCACTAGAGTCGACATTAGTTATATCCCTTCATGCTTATTTTTTTTTTTTAAAAAAAAAAGTGCGTAGATTCACCACAAGTGTTGTTTATTCATTTTGATTGAAATATATACATATCTTCCTTATTTTACAATAGATTTAATAGCTAAAATAAAATACTTCAAGTCAAGAAAATGTGAGAAAATGCTGATGAAATGACTAAAAAGGGAGATTAAGGTAAGAGGACTAAAGGGGAATAATCTCAATATCCAACCCAATGAATGATGACACAGGGGGATATGTTTAATCGTCTTAATAGATCTCATTTATCACCAACTTCCTTCTGATTTATGGTATTGACGGCATGCTTACACTCTTTGGTTCGCTACTCTATTGATTGCCTTTATTTATACATTACGCTTCTCACTATAAAGTAAGTTAGAGTGACGTCAAGCTTTGCGTTTTACCTTCAATTAAAAGTATCTCTGTTCAGCATTAATAGTAAATCCTGACTTTGTACCTTGCAAACAAATAGATTTTTTTGATTCGAAATTTTATCTTTTCTTCACTTTTTCTCATTCATTCACTCTACAAATGGCAAATGTCTTAATCAAAAACGAAAAATGCAGAAATAGATTTGAAACAATTCAAGTTTTACATAGTGTCAGAATTCTAGTAAAGGACAGAAACAAAATTACGAAAAGAGAGTTATCTAAAAATAAGCATATTCAAAAAGTCAACGTGGAAGTAGAAGCTTGCATCAAATCTTTGTTACAAGCACCACAAACGCGTCCCAAACATAAAAAATCTGTAGCTAGCACTCAAATGTGTACATATGATCAAGATATTCATTCAACATATAGTCAATGATAAAATGTCTATCAAGAGTGCTGGACTGAAAGCAAATATGTCGAGTTCTGTCGGTTCCATTTATTATCAAAAATACTTGGAAGATCGAAACCACGACATCCCTATACCGTACAATCGCGCGAATCGCCCTCCTAAAAGATGCACACAAGCTCAAATATGCGCGCTGATTGGTTATATTGAAAATGACAAGATCTCCAAAACAGCAGCTGCGATAAGAGCAAATATATCTGTAGATTCTGGTAGAAAATACTATAAGCAATACTTGAGAGATCGTGTTATTCCAACCGCAACAGACAAGCTTCCATTTTACAAGCCTTGTACAGAAAACCAGGTTAAAGAATGCATCCGTTTTATTATCAATGACAACATGACAATAACAGCAGCAGCGAATAAAGCGAATATATCCAGATGCACTGAATCAAAATACTATAATAAATATTTAAATGATCCAAGTTGTTTTTTGACCAATCAAAAATAGTAAAGCCGTGGCTCTGAACGTTGCACACAAGAACAGGTAAAATGTTTAATTCATTGCATTATTAATGACAAAATGTCAATAAGAGCAGCTTCGAAAAAAGCGAATATGCATGAAAGAACGGGTAGAAGATATTATAAAGAATATTCGAGCAGAGGAACAGGCCATGATGTGCGTGTTAAAAAAGAACATACATAATTTTAAATAAAGAATTTGTTCAGTTACATTGTTGATTATTAAATGTTAGTAACAGAAGCTTCAATAAAAGTACTAGTATAAAGTACTAACAACGTTATTTAAGTGATCCAAAGCACGAAATTCCGTATCCTTGGAAACCACTCACTATCAAGAGTTCAAACAAGACCAGATGAATTAACTCCGTTGGTTACCTCATTGTTTTCCATATGTACTAACTTTAATAAAGATCCTTTTAGCAAATCTAAAGTGTTGATCTTCTCTCAAAAAGTGTATTTATTTAAAGAAAGCGCCAATGATTTTGGGCCAATCATAGTTAAGCTCATAAGAAAGGTAACTCACAGTCACAGTGAGAAGAGAAGGTGAAATGTAGAACTGGCACTTCTAACTGTATTGTGCTTTTTATTTTACACTCCGTAGTGATGGTACCTTTTGGGTAAAAAAAAAAAAAAAAGCCATGTGTGTGTTTTTCACATTCATGTTTCTTGTAATTGGTCAATTTAAGTTTACGTGTGGGTAAAAGTCAATTTACAAAAATGGGGTTAATCATATGCAAAATAACACGTTTGTAATCGTAATTAAACTAATTCTATATCATGCACTACTTTCAAATTGTTTTTATTTCTTTTACTTTTACTTTTACTTTTTCTTCTTTCTTTAATAACTTTAATTATTTAAATAACAATCATGCCAGAAGGTTTTTCAGTCGACGTTTCTAAAGCCGTTGGTCACAAGTTTCCTGCTGATACAGTAAATATACTCTTCTTTATTTAAAAAACAACAATCCTTAAGTGTTTTTCTTTTAGGTCGCCTGTACCAGACGCGATTTCTTATTGTATGCCTTGTCTGTTGGTGTACCTGAAACTGAGCTTCAATGGCTTTATGAACTTGGTAAAACAAGATATAATTCAGACAAACAACAGCGAACAATAATAACCTTTAATAATAATGATGATAGATGTCGACTTTGCACCTTTACCAACCTATCCAATCTGTTTACTCTTAAAATCAGATGATTGGGATGTCAACTCATTCATGGAACGCTGGCAAATCGGAGGACCCACTCCCGGCATCCCTCCCTTTGACTTGAATAAGATTGTTCACGGTGAACAAAAACTGGAAGTGATCAAACCCTTCCCTCTTGAGGGCGGTCGTTTCAAGTCCATCAAGACCTGTCTTGGTGTTTATGACAAGGGAAGCGGTATGTTGATTGATTCTGCTATTGATCTTTATGGTGAAGAGGACAATATACATTATACCCGTATGATTACTAGAATGTTTGTGAGAGGTTATGGTGGATGGAATGTAAGGTCATTTGATCATTCAAGATTTATGGACTAATACAATGTAATAGGGTCCTAAAGGTCCAAAAGCCATTAGCTATGATCCTCCCAGCCGTGAACCTGATGCTGTTGATAGATTCGCTACACAACCCAATCAGGCACTTTTGTACCGTCTCTCTGGGTAAGACAATAAAAAATAAAAAAGGTCGCGTTAAACTAAACCTTTTAAAAATCAAAAGCGACTTTAATCCTTTACACGCCGATGTCAATCTGGCTCCCACCGTCGGTTACCCCAAACCCATCCTTCATGGCCTCTGCTCCTATGGTAAATGTGCACACTCCATCCTGAAGCACTTTGGAAATAACGAAGCCGATCGCTTCAAGTCTATCGAAGCCAGATTCGCCTCTCCTGTTTTCCCTGGTGAGACTGTTGAAGTCCTGATGTGGAAGGTCCCAAGCAACGATGCCAAGGTCGATGGTGTTATCTTCCAAGCTCGTGTTAAGGAGAGAAATGTACAAGTTCTTACAAATGGTTATGCTACCATTCTTAAAGAAGACTCAAATGATGCCAAGTTGTAAATAAGGAAAAATAAAAGAAATACATTTTTTATTTATTTATATATGATATATTAAAAGTCTAATTGCTATCAGACTTCTTTTCATCCTGATCATCATCAGTATAAGCATCCTTCAAGTGATCAAGCTTAAGTCTGTTCAAAACAGCCACAACATTTACAAGTGATTTGAGTGTCTTGCGGCTACTAAAACCTCTACGAACAGTAGGCGCCAAATTGATATCTCTAGTTCCTTCAGAAACAATCCAAGGATCTTTTAATGCTTCATCTGCAGTGATACGTTCATTGGGATTAAGAGCAAACATTCTATTAATCAAATTCTTGGCTATATTTCTATTTATATCAGTTATTCTCTTTGACTCTCCTTTTTTTCTTCTTACCATCTTCTGAAATCTCTGACCAATACTCCTCATCAAACTCATATTCACCACGCATAATGGAATCAAATAATTCATTCTGATCCTCGCCATAAAATGGGGTATATCCACTCAACAAAGTGTACATGATAACTCCAACACTCCAAATATCAACAGGTTTTCCGTGACCTGTGCCGCGAAGGACTTCTG